TCCTCAGCACTGTTTCTACCCAGTTTTTGGATTCCTTCTTCTTCGACAGCCTTTATTTTGTAATTTGTTGGAGTTTAGGATTAATTTCCTGTCTCCCAAGTCATGTATTTGGGCCCAAATCAGCCATATATGACACTGTCTGCTAAAGTCTTGTTTAATCTGTCAGGTGCCCTTGGTCTTTGGTTAATTTTTTTTCAGTATTTATACTAGACAGGAAAGCAAACTTATTCAAGTAAAAACAGTAAGCAGGTTGTAGTAAGAGCTTAATACGTACTGTGTATATATACAATAACGACAAAGACTACAAAGAGAGACAGGGAAGCAGAGAGGGCAGGAGGGACAGGACCACAGAGATAAACAATTTGGAGGTAGGATGGACGAGGGTGGCAGGGGAAGAGAGAAAAGTCACGGTATTAATAGAAGCAAGGACAAAGGCCAGGAGCGTGATGACAGAAGGAGAGACAAAGAAACTTGAGGAAAGAGAGATTGGAGCTGATGCCAAAAATGGGACTGTGGACAGTGATAATGGTGAGTACACAGAGGTGCCCTTGTGCATACATGTTGTGTAACATAAGGTTATTGAGAACCTGAGAGTTTTGGTTCATGCAGTGTTGGAATAACTGATGGAGGCACATTTTTTCCTTTTAAAAAAATATACATTATATATATATATATATAATGTGTATATGTATATATATGCATATGATTGCATGGTAAAAAACCTACCTGCAGAGTCCAGCCTTATTTGAGGTTTGCATGACATCACTGTTGTAGATTGTTTTGTTCCTCCCCTTAAATAAGGCCCATTAAGTTTTGTTGCAGTGAAAGTGCTGAGGGCAATGTTGTAGTGCCCTTTTAAAGCCATGCACACCATTGTTTGTGCCCCTCTCACCAAGTGATTAAGCAGTGCCGAGGGAGGCATTAGGAAATGTGCTCTTCTCATGCAACCTAGTACCACCTTATGCTGTGATCCGTCACAGGGGCTTTTGGCGTGGCATAGGTTGGCCTGAAATGAGGATAGGGCAAGTGTCAGTGACGTCAAGCTGGCTGGAAAAAGGCATTTCAATTTCTCTTCTGCACGCATGCAGTCAATATGCTCCCAAGCAGGAGGGAGTAACAAAAAAAAACCTCTGGAAAAAAGTGTTGCTTCTTTTAAATTCTTGAGCAAAGGGAATATATTCTAAGAAAATCCTGTTTAAGATGGCAAGCTCCAATGAGTGACAGTTAATGGTTTGGGCAAGTAGAAATAGCCACTGCTGTGTGGGAACGAGTTTGATTGTGTGTATACGTGCATGTGGGCGTGTATGGACTTGTGTACTTTGGCTGGTTGAAGTAATACATCTTTGTTTCAAAAATATGTTACGATATTTATATTTCATGAAACAGAGGCCTTTGGAGAGTCTCCTTTGTCACTGTTGGCTTGCTTCAGAGTGTCCTTAGTAAGCATTAGCATTCTTGGACTTTCCCGTTCCCAGAAAGCTACATTTTTTCAGAATGAGATTCTTAAAGGCCTCTTTCCTTGTACTCTCTGTTCCCAAGCCTCACTTTAGTTAGGAAGAAGTAAATGGCATTGAGTTCTTTTTACTTGATCCACCTGAGCTACGAGGAATTTAAAAAGCCCTTTGTGCTCCTCCATTGTGTTTATAGTCTCCCCCTTCTTTTCTCACCGTGTCTTTCTTAAAGAGGTTGGTCTTTGCTTTGCTGCACTTTTAGGCCAACTTTTCCACTCTTTTGGGATCAAATGAGCTCAACAACAGAAATCAGTGCAGTTGGATATGAAACACATCTCTGACAGGAGATGTTGTTACTGTTCAAAGAATAACTGGCTCAGGCTCAAACATACGAACAATATCACGAGGTCTAATAACAAACACATATTGAACGCTAGCTTCTCAGGAAGTCTTTTATATTCACCAGTGTTTTGAAGTTTTGTGCCTGTGTGTGGTTTTTTGTGGTTATGGATTGTGCTGTGAAAAGCAATATTAATTTGAATGTTCACAATCATTCCTCTACCTCAATATGACTTTGTCCCCCCCACTTTTTTTTTTTTTTACTTCTAGTATGGCGATGTTTTGAATGTGATCATGTCGAGTAAGAAGAAAGGAAGTGCTGTTGCAGAATTTGCAACTGTGAGAGCTGCTGTAAGTACCTTAACTCCTGAATAAAAACCTCAGAAACCGTTTTCTTCAACATTCATTTGCCTCAAAATTCCAGGTCACCCGATGAGTTTGATTATTACTCAGAGTGATAGCTGTCATAGACTTCCGTGCCTGGGGATGGTCTGTGCGAGTGAAACTGATATTTTAGTCATTCTGTACCGCAGAAGTCCCGATGCTGATGGAAACCATTGGACGGACGGAACTGAGCCGTCTTATTGTTCCCCACTGTCTGGTTCCTCCGGCTCTTTGTCATCATGATGTACTTTTTTTGTTGTTGTGGTTTCCTTACCGCAACATGTGTTTCGCCTGCAGAAAATATGCCTGCCAGTCTACTGGGATCTAGGTACAGGTTCTGTTGTCTCACCCTGCCCATCTTCATGCCCCAGCTCCGGTGTTGGCCCACCTTTATTTAGGTGTTATGTGAACTGAACAAATACCTAGGTCCCACTCTGTACAAGGAGAAAGTGTTTTCGCCTTAATAATACTGGTAGATGACTCATTTGAATACCCGCTCTCACATTTTGTTTTTTGTTTTTTTTAGGAGCTGGCTGTAAAGAATGAAAGTGGCGTAGCTGCAAATCCCCTGAAGATTTCCTGGCTTGAAGGACAGCCTGAGGTTTTTGCCGCAGCTTCTCATTCTGGGCAGTTCATGCCTTCACAGGTACCGGTATAACATTAAAATGCGCTGTTGTAATTCCCCTCCTCTCTCATAAAGCGTGTCAGCCCCATGTTATAAAATCCTCCGGCTACATTGCTTCCAGCACAAATACTCTTGCCTAAACACTGCCCCACAAAGAGAGGTATGTAAACGCTCAGAGCTTTTATTTTCGTATCAGTGGTGCAGATATTTCCCCGGTGCTTGCACTCCCATTCGTCTGACCTAGAACAATGTGTTTGGTTAAATGGTCCTCGGTTTATTTGTGGTGAGGTGCTGGCCCGGCACTGGCCCAGAGCCCCTCGTTGGCTGCTCATTAATGGAAATGACCTGGCAGACCCCAGGATTGCTGCATTTCGTGTAGCAGCATGCAATAATGGTAGTCTGGCACGTGAGAAAGTAAAAATGGATATTTTGGTGCCAAGTGATTACATTTTTTTTCTTATTATTAATTACTTTTAGATTTTGGCCTTTTTCATTAAGTCAAAAACCTTCTGATCATCTTAATATAACATTTTTTTTTAATTTGAAGAATTAACCACCTATGGACCACAGTTTGCTACATAAAACTGCTGAACTGGGTTTCACCTCTCATGCTAGTGTGGGGTCTACGACCCCCTACACAGCGTTAGTATCTGTGACTGAGTCTGCACACTGGGACTTGTCACACTAATCTCTTTAAATGTTATTATGGTAAACCGGTTTGCATTGCAGATATTCAAAGATGATTGCTTTAGCCTTTTTTCTTCTGTAACTCTGACTGGAAACATTACTATGCTAGAATTATTTTCAAATTAGCCTTCACTGAGAATACTTCTTGCTAAAGAGGTCCCACATGACATAATAGATAAACCATGGCAGATATTAGCGGTGTTGATCCACAGCTATCCACGGGTCAGTGGATGTGAATGTTCTTTTCAGATTCTTATCTGGGATCTACAAATCTGATCCCTCTCCTGTAGCCGACCCCTTCATAGTGTCCCAACATTATCCAGCTGCAATCACATATGAGCAAAGTGAGGACTTGGTTCTTTAACCTCATCAATCTAAACACAGCTCACAGAGTCAGCGTCTCGCCACAGGGAGCTCAGATACACGGATGACTTCACCCTTAACTTTAGTTCCATCTCTGCTGGGCTTAATAAATGAATTTGAGGCCAGTATGAGGAGCCTAATGGAGTAAAGGGAGGGGCAAATTCCCCAAGAAGACCCCTCAGGGTACAGAGACTTTGATCTATCTCATGGTGTGTTAAATTTTTAACTTCTCTCACAGAGAGGAGTGTTGATCTTTTGGCTCTGTTTTTGTTGTAGATATGACATGATTTATAACTGGACCTACTGCATTCACCCAGTTTTTCTCACCATGGATATTAATTTCAAAATAGGGGAGGGCCGTGTCTTTCGCACCATGTGGAATTGCTCCCCACGCTCTTGGCTAAATTCAGACCCTTCATTTGGGAAAAGAATCCAGTTTCTTGTCCTGATCGTCCACTTTTGCGTGTGTACCCGTTAAATTTACTGATATGACAAATACGTCGTAGTGACAGGCTGAAAAATGGAGAGGTCGAGAAAACGAACCTTTAAATTTTCCCAGAAGTCCAAGTGTTTCTTTTAGTACATGGTTCAAAATCTCAGTGAATGCTAAAAGAACCTATTATCCATTGCTAAACATTTCAGTGCAGTCCTATCCGAGAGCGGCAAATAGTTGCATCTGAAAAAGGGATTTCACATGGATAGTTTATCTTAACAAACTCTCGGATGTGGAATCCCCATCTATCTGTCTGCTTTGTTTTTGCCAGACCTGATGTTCATGCCTCCAGAGATATGATGCCATCATTAATCATTGTGTCTTGATTCATGGTTTATTGCTCAGTTTAGCATACCGTATTATTTAAAACGATTCTATTGTAAGGGTTTTAAATTTGAGCCTTCTATGCCTGCTTCTTCCATCAAGAGCCAGGGAATCATTGCAGGGTTGTCACGGCATAAACCAGATGCAGTAGATCAGCTATTCTGGGATTGTTTTTCCAGCCTGCTGGTTTGCTAGTGCTTTAAAAGTGCGTTATCACCTAAAATAGTCCTTGTGTCTGGAAGAGATGCATTGGATGTGGCCTTGCTGTTGGCATATTCAGTGCTGGCCTGAAACCTGCTCTTAATGGAGATGATAGCTGTTTAGGAACAGCTTTCTGTTTATTGCAATGACCAGACTTAAAAGCTGAATATTTCTTTTTTTTTTTCTTTGGTTTTGTTCTATTTCACATTTTTGTTAGTAGCAAAAGTAAAAAGGAAACGAGCAGTGAAAATACATGAGACTGAAGGATGATTGGCCACTCACGAAACGGAGGATGGGAGATGTTTTAAAAAAAGATGTGCTGGTTTAGAATACATAGAAATCTATGCCTAAATGCATTTAGCTCATCATGCATATCATGAGAGGGAAGAGCTGTTTTCAATTTGCTTGATCCTCTTTGCAGCTTGATAATATTTTCTGTCTTGATACACGATACCGACAGCATAAACAAAAAAAACTGTTGGTTTTATGAAATCCCCTTTCATGTGTAAACACAAAAAAACAAACCAGACCAAAACAAAGACATGTAGCATTAGATTTCACTGGGAAGCACAATTACAGGCGCAGCACTCTTGTCCTATTTGCCAATACAGTATTTTTAATGTTTAAGTTGTAGCCGACAAAAAACACAGCTCGTACGAGCTGCTTTAGAGGAATGACAAGGTTTTTTTTTTGTATTCTGCATGACAGCAAGTTTAGATTTTAAAACGGAGGGAAGTGATGCCAGATGTGATTGGGATACTCCACAGTTTGGCCAGTTTTTTGCAGAGCAGACAAGATAATTTGTCTTCCATCACAGACTCTTTCATCTCGCATTAACCATGTGGCTGAACATTTGCTCAAGTTGTGTCCTTCGCAGGACTTTCACACAGATGACAGACTGATAGAAAACCAAGGACACATGCATGCAGGAAAAATAAGATGCCAAGTATTATTTCTGATTTCTCTGATATTGCACAATTCTTCTTTCTCTTGTGAATAGATAAGGTTTTGATTGCTTAGGGAGTTATTGCATCGAGCAGGGCAACACAGTCAACACAGTGTAAATCTCTGTCAGTGAATAGCTCATTCTCCTGCTTATCCTGAAGTTTACTAACGGACTCTGGTTAGCTATTGATAGCCACCTCTTTGTGCTTTAGCTGTGCTTCAAAGTCCGCTTTACTCTAGTGCAGCATTCATGCCTCTACTGTGCATGAAATTCTGCCGTGCGTGTCTAATTTTGGCCACCTCTACATAATATTATTGTGTTGCGGAGTCCTATATAAGCTGTAGTTTCTCTAGAAAAAATGATACAAACACATAAAACAATGTGTAAAATAAAGGAAAAAGCAATCTCATCATACGAGTATTTGATGTTTTTATTTGCTTTGCACAAAAAATACATAAAAAACTCTTTTTTCTTCAGAAGGAAAAAAACATTCACAATGTGTTATTGGCAGAAGTCTACAAGAAACGGATATATAAATGTTCCCACAAACAGTGCTGTTTCTGTTTTGGACTTGCATAGAATTCAAAATTTATTGCTTGAAGAACTTATTTTGGTTTCTAGATTTTGTACCGTGACCCGTGGCGCTCTTAGGAATTTGACTTCTTCTGGGTTTTGTGCCACATCCCATCCCGATAACTCCCCAACAAAGCCGGAGTGAGGCTCGTCTCGACGTCTCCTCTGTAGGTTTGAGGAAAACGTATGGACGAGTGTTTCACGAGTGTTTCACGAGTGTTTCACGAGTGTTTCACGAGTGTTTCACGAGTGTTTCACGTGTGCTTCCCTTTGCTCGTGTGCCAGTGTGTGAGATACAGCATGCATTTTTGCGTGTTGGGTGTATTTGGGTAGAAGGTAGTGTTTAAAGCCTCATCAGAACTTTTGCTACAGTAATGATGTTTCTGGTCCTCCTTCTCCCTCAACACCCCCTGCATATGTGGAAGTATCAAGTTACCCTTTACCACTTTTCTTCTCGTGCACTGCTCACCAGAGCATTGAACGCTGATTTGCAGCTAAGAAAACAGCCTGCTTTGGCTTTTTTTTTTTTTCATTTTTCTTCTGAGGTCTTGGACCTGTGGCCTGGCTTGGTCGGTAGCCCAAACTGCCACCACTGGCTGGCTTTTATTGGAAGCAGGACTAAGTGTTTGTTTTCACTGCCTTGTTGGGAATGAGAGATGGGGGGTACCTTGGTCTACCATTGAGTGGGGCCTCTCAGATGCGTGCGGAGTAAAATTTGCCCTCTGCACACAACAGATTGGCAAGCACGCCAAGGCATCGCAGCTCCAAGGACCTTGGATTCCAGTCGTTGCGTTTCTTTTCTTAAACACAACAATCTTAAGTCTTAACAGCCGTCGTCAGTGCCATGATGTGTGGTTTGAAGAATTAAAATAGCTAAGGGGAAATGTGAAAAGGTTGAAAATGTCAAGCTCTTAGTTTAACATGAGACAAAGTTTAATTATTAACTTAAACACTGGATCTGCCTCTGCAAAGGGTGATTGCTTGGAGAACATTAACTTTGTTTATGTGCCCCCTTTTCAAACAGAATCACGCATACTTTTTAGTAAACGCTGTGGATCACAGTGCTCTAGGAGCATATCCTGTGCCTTTACAAAGTGTACAGTGTTCATCTGTGGTTTATTATTCATTGTTTGAGATTCTGCATTCCAAAAAAGCAGATATCTTTAGATTTATCCGAACATAATGAACAAAACAATATCCAAATGTGATGATTTCGTCTCCGATCAGGATTCTGGACAAGATGAGGCCCTTATTGCTCTCTATATTCCAAACCTTTAGTAAAGCCTCTCCGAGACATTTGGCTAATCTCTGGTTTATTTGTGCAGTTTGTCCATCACCTGAAGGACATCGTCAAGGATCGAAGGACCCAGATCGAGGCTGAATGAAAAGCCACTGTCCTCATCCTTTTGTTGTCCCGTAGTTTTGTCACAGGTCTCGTTAAAGTCTTCATCCCCATCTGAACCTGTGCTGCCCCATCTGGAGCTATGAGTCTGATTGGAAGAAGTATTATTCCCTCTTTGGTACCCATCCTCTTTTTCAGCATCTACATTTCCTTTCTCGCTGTCCAGCAGGGGCAGAGAACTGCATTTCTTCCTTTTCTGGGAGTTATTGTGCTGGTGGTCCACAGACAAGTCAGGGGTCTTTTTGCTCTCAGTCTCGTCCAGATTCAGACGAGGCGGCTTTGGAGGCGGTGAGCAGGCCAGAAAGACGTTCTGCTCACTTCGGGAACTTTGTAAAAGCAGGTTGTGACTCAGCTTTAGAAAAGACAGATCTCCAAAGCTGTCGGCATTGTTTCCAATATGAGTGATGTGGCGGAAATCGGCGAGCGGTAGGCTGATCATGTTGACAGACAGAACCTCCTTCCTCTTGGAATTCCTGCTGGACCAGCGTCCAGAGGCTGGATTTCTGTGCAGCGATGCTCGGAGCGGCATCCTAGCAGATCTGGTTGAGATTTGCTTAAATGTTTCAGTTTAATCTTTTTTGTTTTTAATGTATCCTCAAAAGTCTTTGTAGTCTCTTTCTTCTTTGTTCAATTTGTTAGGAAGTTTTGATAATTAAAAGCATAACTCCATCTGCAACGAAACACATAAAGAGAGTATTAACATTTTAACAAACAACAGTTTGATACCACATTTCCCGCAGCAGCACGTCATCCAGGTTCTCTCTTATTCATGCTAGAACATGAAGGAGATCTGTGCTTGTGTTTGTCGTGTTTTTCAAAACCAGATGTAAGGATTTGACTGTGTCTGTTAGCTTTTTTTAATTCACATCCATTGTGCAGCGATTGCACCTGCTAGCCTTGATTTTCATTTAATGAAATGCAGCAATTATTTGGCAGCGCAGGGATGTTCAAACAATGCTTTGAACCTTTCATTTACAAATATTTACTTTTCAAATCCCCTCTTTTCCGATAAATGCAGGTGTGGTCTGCTGCACGTCTTCCAGAGGAAGTCTTCTAGTCCATTTAAGACTTCCAGTAAGAGAGTCAACAAAATAAATAAGAAAAAATGCCAGAGTGGTAATTGTTATCCTGTATGCGGTGCATTGTCTTCACTTTCTCACAACCTCTGTCAGAAATTATGATAATAACTTCACTTTAGAGCACATGTTTATAATTTCCTCAGAAGTCTAAATAACTGGGATACGATTAGTTTATTTTGCTGTGGTGTGAGAGGTATGCCCCGAGTCTGGATTTGAAAGTTATTTAAGATAAAATCAAATACAGCTATTCCATAAACAGCATCGCACTCTAGGCATTATCTTAGAGGATCAATCTGTTTTTAATGTCTTTTGGAGGATAATATAATCTTGAAATTTCATTTCCACCAACAAAACCTAAAACCTCTTGGTCACAATGACTCGAAAAAGCAAAACAAGAAAGCGTTTTCACTTTCCGTGACCAGTAATGATTTTAGTGAGCGAGACAGAACTCAGTTCATCAACGCAGGCACGCCGATTAGATAATCTCCTCTGTGTCTGTGATTTTTAAGCCTCCCAACAGCTTTGCCCACAGTTAGATCTGTGTTCGTGACTTGAAACACTCACTCTGTAAATTTGTAAACCACTTCGGCAAACAGGTTTTGTTGGCCTGTAAAGGTTTTATCGGCACTTTAGTAGCAGCGGGAGATTGGAGCGCGCGGACTCGACTGCATTCCTTTCCAGACATGTCAGTTTGGCCAAGGAGGAGTCGTTGGGATTTTAGCCATGAGTATCGTGTTCAGGAAACACTTCGTGGCCAAGTTAAAAACTAAAGAAGCTCATTAAAACACATTGGCCAAGAAACACGTTTTAAATGATGGTTCCGAACGCTCCATTAATTACACATCTCGGAGACTGATAAGGACTCAGTCTGCTGAAAACTTTAACCACAATTAAAATAACTGATGTTAAGATCTTTTTCCTGCCGTGCAGTTACTTTAGTGAGAACTATAACAATAATTAGACAAAAAAAGAAAAGATGTTAGTTTTTACCTGTCTTGCTGGGAAAATCAAGGATAATCTAATCCCACACACACGCACACCCGTCTCTGCCAGGAAGCTAGGCTGTGTGTACCTGCACACTCTCACAAACCTTCCTTTGACATGACGGGGCTTGTCAGCTGTTACAGACAAGATCTCATTGAACCACCTCGAGACACAGAAACAATGTGAGCTACAACAGTCTTTTCCTCATCGTAGACGAAAAGCTAAAGAAAGTATTTATATACCATTTCTTACCCTTCTCTGCTTCAACGAGTGTTTTAGATAATCCTTGCAGAAAGATCTTTTTGTGTCTGGCTGATGAAAGTTATCTTCCCCTAAGTGATAAGCCAGGTGAGGTCAAAGTATAAGATTGTTAAGAGATCCAGGTATTTCTTAGTTGACATCTGAAGTCATCCCACCTCCAGTCAGGAGATTATATCATCCTGTTTGCGGAGTGAGTTGGCCTTTTAGTCGTAGGTGTTACAGTAAGTCCTGCTGGTTGATTGGCTGCACCCATCACCTGCGGGTGAGTCGGCACAAAGCACGAGCTCCCGGTTTAATTCCCATGACATTGAGAAAGGCAGAAACTGCCGTGCACGACTTATTCTTAAAGCCGAATGGTGTGACTGAGAGAAAGGAAAGGGGCGACGTATAGTTTGAAGTTTGAAGAGGTTGGTCATGTACAACTGATTGTGTTTTAATAAGAGTGTGTGAGACTGTTATAGATTGTGTGCTTATCTGGGGAAAAAAGAGGAAGTCCTAGTAAGTGAGAAACCGGTCAGCCCTAATCTCTGTCTTATTGTCCCTCTATTCTGCTGATTTCCTGTCTGTTGTTGAGTTGAGCCCACTCCAAAGACTCTTCTGCCTGAGTGGAGGCCTGTAGCTATTCTGTGTAATCAAAGCTCAGTATCCCACACAGACATGTATGAGCAGGCACGCTGGATTTCACAAGAGGGATCACTTGCTGCATTTCTAATTCTCACGCCTCCAGCGTGTTGTCTTTGCTATGGAATGCTATAGTAATGGATAACACAAAACTGTGTCAGAGCAGAAAACGTTTGTGCGCTCGCTGGAACGTGTTTGCGTAAAAAGGTTTAAAGCCTCAAAGTTTCAGTAACACTCACTGCTACGCACTTTGCTTGTGAGCCTTTTTTTGGGACTATTATCTTCTGAACAGTTGCATCTACCTGCGTGGTGATGTTTTAAAGATAACATATTTCATAATGCTGAAATATAGCCATGTGTTGGAGAAAGCTGTAGATCTGTGTGCAGTATTTGTTTGTTTTTGCCTTCCTCCCCAACCCTAAACATGCCGGGCGTGAAGGACAAATCGTATTTTTTAAGCGCTCCTTTGAAATCGATCCAATAAACAACATCCTCTCTGCTGCTCTGCAACTCAGGACCAGAACAGTCTGCAAGAGCAGACACAATTACTCACGCAAATGAAATTATCATAACATTTACCCAAGGCCGAAACAGAACATTTTTGAACATCCCTCTTCTGAGAAACCCCCTCCTTCTTCCACCTACAACCACAAAACTGCTTTCATGCTAGAAGACAATCAGGGTGAAGAGCTAGTGTTATCTGTGGTATTTGGGTATGACCTCACAAGACCTGCTGTCTGACCAAGGTTGGGCTCAGTTTGTTAGCGGTGCTCTCATGCTATGTAGCCTCTGGGCTTATGCGTTTAGCCCGAACTGGATTTCTGCATAAGCCTCTTTTCTAAGGCCTGACCATAGTGGGCAATGTGGTTTGATGCAGCTATGCCGGGCCTGAAATCTGGGATGCTGCATGTTTTTGTTGTTGCAGGATAAAAAGTGTTTCCAGATATTGCTTTGACTGGCGCAACGATTCCAAACTGAGGCTTTGGTGGATATTCTTTTGGCTCTTTGTTGTATGTACTTCAGCTTCCGCTGATCAAGGCCCTCAGACAGCCAGCATTTAGAATAGATTTACTGCAAGATTTGGCTTTTATATGAAAAAGCTTTTTTGTTTTATTGGCAAATACTGGCCATTGGGCTGTGATCAAATTCAGTGTGCAATACATCAATGAATTAACCAGATTATTTAGCTTGTAAGACTTGTTAAAGTAGTCATTCCCACCTGTCTGTATTTTGTATAAACAGTTTCTAGTAGTTTTCCTTTTATCATTTCTGGTGGGAATGTTTAAATATGCATTTGTCATCATCTTCAGCATTGTTGTCGCTGTTCGTCTGCAAAGTTATGACTCAGTGATTAGCCGTCTGAAAGTTTTCCAACAGAAACTTGGCTGTGGGATTGCTAAGAGGAAGTGCAGACACTCGCTTGCATGATTCCAACATGACAGAGATCTGACACCGAAGCCCAGGTGTTACTTTACTGAATACCAAGCGCACACTCACCAACACATATGACGTAGCTAACAGTAGCTTCTGATCAACACAACAAAGTCACGTCAGCTCCAACACAGTAAGCGGATGGCTTGGCTGGGTAAAAACAAATATTCTCTGATGAGGTAATGCACTGCGGTGCCAAATGTCACAACACAATAAAACAGCTGGATTATTTACGTTTTGAGGTTTTACACCAAAGTTTGTCAGTCAGCGACAGAGACATTTTAATGTTTTGAGTTTTTCATTTGTGCGTGTGTCTGTCCCGGTATCATGATTGTCAAAGTCAAACGTGCTCAGAAAAATTGAAAAATAAAGTGAGTAGAATTTGGTCATCCAAGGTCACTGAGGCCTGATATTCTTCCCATTCTTGCAAACACAATATTTCAGGAGCAGCACGAGGGAATTTCATCATAATCAGAATCTTTTACTGTCGTTATGCCAAAAACACAGAAAAATCATATGCTCTGCTATTCAGTGCAAGGAAAGCAATCTAACTATTCCCAAAAAATATAAACCATTTTAAAAGTGTTTCTGTTAACTGATACATGATAAACAACATAATATGTACGTGTATGTGTGCTCGAGTCATTATTAATAGCACAATTTTAAAATTTAAGGCAGTGCAACCTCATAAAAAGTTATTTGTTTGGGGTTTTTTGGCCATAAAGGAATAATTTTTACATTCATTATTACATAGTTTGCAGAAATATCTGATTGGTGGCATTTTATGTCTCAAGTCAAAGGTCAGCTTCACTATAACATAATGCTTTATGACACTTTTTTGCATATACCAACTCGGGAGCAGAAAATTTCACATTTGGTCAGACACAAAATTGCCTATTAACCTTTATTGCCCTAAAAAGCAGCCTCGCCTCTGTCAGTGCCCCAGGGTGGCTGTGGCTGCAATGTAGCTGCCATCACCAGTGTGTGAATGTGTGTGTGAATGGGTGTGTAAAGCGCTTTGGGGTCCTTAGGGACTAGTAAAGCGCTATATAAATACAGGCCATTTACCATAAAAACAATTGTTGGACCTACACTACATACTGTATTACTTTATGAATATGGGCACACTGGGATGCATTCTGCAGTTTGATTGGTTAGTGGAAGCTTACACTCACAATGTGATAATGTAGGTTTGACTCGTGGCACTATTCTACATTCAAAAATGACCCGAGGATGTTTAACATATAGTATGGTGCTGCATTGTCTTTCATTCAGTTTCCTTTAACTCATTACCAGATCTTTTAATAAGGGAAAGCTATATTAGCATTACTATTATCATATTATGTAGTTTATGGTTGCAGTTTTGTGCTTTAAATAGTACTTTGCATTCTTTGTTACACAGAATATTGAAGACAAAATTGTTATGGATTTTTTGTGTAGTTATTGCAGGATTTATTCCAAAGAATTTCAAAACCCATAAATTTGGAGGTATCAGTAAAATCTGAGGAATGTTATTTCTGCTGACACTGACTGATTAGTAATTATTGAATGATGGCTGTGAGTTTTAGATTAAACTGTAGATTTGTAGAGTTAATGTAAACAATACATACTGAGATCAGTTTTACTGGTTTTGCTTACTTTACACATTAATTAGTGTAGATAAGGAACACATGCACAAACAAAGTAAACAGAAATCTGCAATTGTTGTGCCATTTTCTTTCTTTTTTTTTTCCTTGTGTAATACCTCGGCTCATTTTTTGACATCTCCAAGGTTCAGATGGTGTTCTTGCAGTGCCCTGGCCTCCTTTGTTTTAATAGCAAATCTGTTGCAATCAGAGGGCTTTTCCAGGAAGGCTGGAATGTGAAAGACATAATTTTGCTTTTACAACAATGTATTGTTGGATATTACAGAAACCAAACCCCCACATTTCCCTATTCAAGGATCCCTGAGCTCATCCATCATAAAGAGAAATGCCAGGGCACCAGGAGTTCAGGTCTTTGCTGCCATTTCTCTTTTCACTGTTTATATCCTTTACTTTTACAGATTCCAAAGGCACTTTTCTGACTCCACCCTGCACGCTTCTATTCTGTTGAATACTGTGTATACCCATGAGCGTAGTTATATAGCTTATATGGGGTGTTTGAGTACAGCAAAGCTAATATGATTGAGCTGATGAGCTAATATAATTACAACTTTAGCATTTTAGCTTTCGTTGTATTTTTTTAAGTCCCAGAAGTGATTTAGATGACAGACTGGAATTATTATCAAACATTATGAAACTTCGTTAGCTACCTGCATCCATATACTGGAAGGATGCAATGCACAAATACACATGCTCGCTAATTAGTGCTGATTAGCAGATTAAAAGTATAGTCACCAAAACTGAGCCACACAGGTCTTGTATGGTCTCTGCCATAGCAGGCAGTAATAATTATTTGATAATTTCATTTAAAAAAAATGGCATAAACACCACAAACATAGTTGAGAAATCCAGTTCAGTGACTTCAGCTAGCTTAGGTGAGCAGGGTCGTGTCCAGGATTTGTTTTGTAAATGGGGTGGCACAGGCGAATCAAGAACAAAAAGGTTTATTACTTAAAACGTGGTGCTGCACAGTGTCCAAAATATAGTAGAAAAAAGAGAGTATCCCAAGTTAGAAATACTTCAAATACAAGTATATTAAATTTGTACTTTAGTAAAGTACTTGAGTAAATCTACTTAGTTACATTTCTTATGGCTCTCTCAATACTCTCATGCAAAGATGTTGGACATTGTAAGACTGGCAGTACACTATGCCAATGACATTGGTATTGGGGGGGCCCCACCTTCTTGTTGCCCCCCCATGCCCTGTTCTGGATACGCCCCTGCAGATGAGACCTGGTAGACAGCTCCTGTAGCTGTCAGTATACCTGGCAATGTGGAAATCAAAGCCATACCCTTAATTTTAAGCCTCAACAGTATCCAAATGGACAAGTTATATAAAAAACCCAAAACAAAAAACACCCACAATACAGTTATGAAAGGTTCAACATTTGTCTTTCCATCATTATCGAGCAACAAACGTATTATTTATTTTCCTGTTCCAGGCCGCAAACATGTTTTTTAAAGCTATTACGTTGAACTCTATTGAAGCTGACTCGGTGTTGGTACCAGTCATTCCAGCAGCTATGTTTTGTTTTTTTGCAGTTTAATTTGGCTGCTTTGATCAGACGTACATTTTCTGTCAAATAAAGGACGTTTGTGCATTGCATGAGAGGGGCTAAAAACAGGAAGTACATTTGGGTCTCGACCTCTGTGGTTTGTTTGTTCTTTACTTGCAAAAGCGGTGTAGTAGAACAAACCTTTGGGGTTTTATGTCTGCTGACTTCTGTAATGAATGTTGATTAATCCGCTACCATTTAGAAAGCTTAGGTTTTGTCTGCACGAGAATTTCACCTCGGCTCCAGTGATGCATCTGCAGTAAGGCTGCCTCTTTGTTTGTGTTAGCATGAGCGCTTGGGTACCTTCACATACACACACACGCCCAAACGATCTCTATACTGGTATTTGCCTTTCATAAATCACAGCTCGGTGACACACACACAAATACAGAAACACACACTACGCCACCACACGCCCGCCAGTTAAATAGTTCCTTGATTAACTTCACCGCAGTGGATCAGAGCACACATTTTAGCTGGGACCACAGAGCAGGCTTGTTAAAAAACCCATTCTTAAGCTTTGGAGGACTTTAAAGTCACCTCGGCACTGCAAGCGTCTAGTTGAAGACATGTGATGCTTTATGGTGTTAATGAGTGATCCATTTATCAAATCTGAATTGGTGAGCCGTCAAGTTGCAAGGTTAAAAGCCGTTAAGCGTGAAATGGCAAGATTTTAACGGAAGCTGTTTTGAATAGATGTAGTTTCACTTTACTCGTGTCCGCGCTTGTCTGTCTCTATTAAATGTACAAACACCTTTTCAATCACTTGTCCTCACACGCTCGGCGATCTGACAACTTGTGCTGCGGCCACCTGCGCTCCTGCCATGCCTCCTGCCGTGTGTGGGAAGGACTTTTAAGAGCGTGTGTGTGCTGCTTGACTCACAGCACTTGTGGTGATCATGATGTCATTACTGGCCTGGGGTCAGGCTGGGTTGTGCTTCGAGGCCTCGCCATGCGCTGATGTCACGTAGCTAATCCTCAGCTTGTTTATATGTATGCATGTGCGTGTGTGGTTGTGTGTTTTACTACTATTCCACCTCAGCGGTGGCCTTGAACCCTCCTGTCTTGGCTTTGTACAGTGGCCCATTGTTTGTGTTTTGTGGTTTCCCGCTCACCCCGGATCTTGGCGTTAAGGCACCAAACACCCACCCGCCCCTACACACACACTTGCAGACACACACAGACATAGACATGCACATATGTACCCACCAAGTGTTTAGTTACAGAGTGATGCACTAGCTAAATATGTATATTGTAAGTTAACACCCGAGGCAAGGAAACTTCCCTCATTCTGAGAAGAAATGCGTCACACTGCCCATAAAGCACCTGTTAATGCACAGAATTCCCCTGCATCATTAGTGTCGTGCAGTCTGCCCATGATGCCATAATCATGCTGGGCTGAGAAAAAGGCAGACCAGTTCTAAAAGGTTTCCTGGTGCACTTCAGCATTGTGCCCAGTAGGGGGCGTAGCAGAGTATGGTTAGATTTGCTGTATAGGCAGGAGGATTTCCACAGCTTCTTGTATATTTGCTTGTGTTTTGTTTAATTTTAAGTTACAAGAGTTGTTTATTTACCTAATAGTGTTCGCGTGATATTTCATAGTTACGTGTCAGACGGGGGCTTGAGCTCACGTTATTGGAATGATAATAGCAGCTTTCCTCAATCCAGGGGTGGCGTAGGGGGGAGTGAGGGTAACGTCCCCCCTCACCGACCCTCTTTTTTTCTTCTTCCTCCACACTAGACCCTCTTTCTCCCCAGCACACGGATGCTGGAGTCCCTATGATATTTTCCAGATGCCTTAGCGAGTGCATCGACAAAACTTACCACTCATCAGATCACTCCCCGTCCTTAATGCACACGCTCACTCTCTCCTGCAGCTCACTGTCTTGTTAAAGAGACACTTCCTTGGCCCAGCAGACGTCCTTGATATAATCTGTTCAAAGAATGGCTTTCTTTGTGTGCACGTGGTCTTCCTTCCTAATCAGTGATGGGATGATGGTCTTCATGAGTGCCTATGTTTGTGTTGCACATACAGTATAAGCACAATCCTGGTGAATTTTAAATTGAAGTTGTCAGATTAAAATTTTTTCTTAAAGTGTTTTCTCGTTTCATCACAGTCTGTTTCTTGTGTTTCGATCTTGGTTGGTGTGGCATTGGTCATTGCACAGATGTTTGTGTGTGTGTGTGGGTGTGCAAGCCCTTTTGGGCTGTGTTCCACCCTGCTTGATTAGCCATTAGCCAGTGGCTGCCCTCTCTGATTTCCCCCCACAGTATGATAATCCGTCGCCATCATCATCCAAGCCAAAGCCCTGCCAGCAACTGCCAGGCCCAATTCCAGCCCACATTTTAGGTTTAATGACCTAAGGCAGTGGAATTACCCCATCACAGTTTCTCTGTGGGCTGCTGTCTCATGCATGTTCACCGTGTCGTCATGCAAATGTTAACTGAGATGAGAGCATGTGTCCAAATCTGCCTCTCTGCGCCGCACTCAAAGGCCTGGTTGTGAAAGCAAACAGAAACTGGACATTGACTGCATTTTGGTTATTTTGCGTGTGTGTCTGTGGTCAGCTTTGAATGAGCAACATGATGTTGCGTGTCTAACACAGTCATCTTTCCTCCACTGGAGGCTTTCTGTGTAGAGTTTACATGTTGTCGCCACGTACTCCAGCTTCCTAGGACATGCATGTTAGGTTAAGTGGTGATTCTAAATTGACCCTAATTTGTGTGAATCTGATTGTGACTTGTTCTCTCTCTCTGTCTTTTTTCCTTGTGTTAGACTAACAAACTGTACCTCTCTTCTCGCCCATGTAACAGCTAGGATAGGGTCCAGCCGTCCCGCAGCCCTGAATTAGCCAAACGTTGGATGGCTGCCTTGAAGGACTGTTGTCATGATCTAAAAATCCAAGATGTTTGGCTTTTCTTACGACTCTGTCGCAGGATCACAGGATCGCTCCACAGATTTTACACTTCAAGTTCAGCTTACTTGTGAGGAGGACTGCACAGACATTTTTTTGTAGCTTTATACGTTTTTTTGACAATTCTGAGAAATAGAACTCTCAGTGATACAATCGGGATTATCACTGTTTAAGCTTGGACACCATATAACGGGAATGCTGCTCACTGATGAAAACGCTGCTGCTTATAAATAAAATTCAAGGGTTTTTGTGGCTTGAACCTTAAGTAGAACTAAAAGTTGATCTGTCATGAAATCTGATAGAAACTACTCTGTTGAATTGATTTTCTAAATCAACTGATTGTCTGGTCTACAAATAAATCTTCTTATGAATCTTGTTTTTGTAAGTCCTACTAGTCTGTGTAGCTCTGTTTCACATTATGATAATATCCACTTTTTTGTTATCACCCCTTTAGGCTTCCCTGTCCAATGAGCGTGACTACGAAAGCATTGTGATGATGAGGATGAGGCAGGCCGCCGAACGTCAGAAACTCATAGAACAAATGCAGAGGGAAGACGAGGAGGAAGCTGCCACGCCGTAGCACCACAGGACTCAGCTCGTTACCAGCACTGTGAGAAATATTAGATGTGATCCTGCATCAGGCTTTAGTTTCATAAAGCCTCTTATTTGTTTTTATTATTTTTTTGTATGTAATGTGATGTGTGGCAAAATAAACAATTTTCATAAACAAACAAAAAACAGTTTTTGTGTCGTGGCCTTTCCTGAGAAGAGATGTGAGAACCAGCAGGGTTTGATGCACAGCTGGGTAGTGCCAGATAGTAGATACAAATTTGGAGATTTAAAATGATTTAGACTGGAATGCATCTTATGACTATGTTTCAAATATTGCACTATGGTGTGTGCATTACAGGCCTCTGGGGATTGATTACTGGTCTATTGGTCTAAGCATCACTAAGTACTAACACATTTCTAGGTATTTTTTTTGACAGAAAGTAATTTGAAGACCAACTTACAACATTTACAGACAGACCAAAAATCTTTAGTCTGTTTACTAAAATGACTCTGTCAACTGTGTCGAAGGCCTTCGACAAGTCAAGAAAAAGCATCATTAATGTCGTTCAACAGTTTAATGGTGCTGTGTTGTTTTCTGAATCCTGACTGCTGTTGGTAAAGAACCGAATTTTGTCCAAAAATTATTTTACTTGTTCACTAATAAAGTTTTCTAGAACTTTTGCTAGAACACACAATTTAGATATGGACCTGTAGTTATTAACATCTGAAGGATCACCTTTTAACAATGGGAAACCATAGGCAGATTTCCATATTGCAGGGATCTCATTGTTCAAAAGGCTGAGATTAAAAATATAAGTTAGTGGTTCTGCTATAAAATCTGCAACCAACTTAAGAAAATAAGGATCAAGCTGATCTGGCCCTGCAGGTTTATTTGGATTCAACAGGTTTAAGGTCCTGTGGTCTTCAAAGAAATTTGGAAGAGAAAAGCTGAAGGATTGGTCCAAAGATTCAGTTTGAGTGGTAAAAGAGAGAGCCTCCTGTTTATTAGGCAGTTTTAAATATGGATGTAAAGATTCAAATAAAGACCTGGAAGAAACAAAAGACTCATTAAAGCAGTTTAGAATTTCACATTTTTCCGTCTTTTACAAAAAAAGCTGGCATCTCATTGGTAGTTTTGTCCCTAAGAACATGTTATAATTTTTTTTTAGGATCGTTAAGATGTTCAGTAGTTTTTGAAAGATAAAATTCTGATTTGGCTTTTAATGAAGAAGGCTGAATGATTTCTTAGCTGTCTAAAAATCAGCCAATCTGCCTCAGATTTAAAATCTCTGGCATTCATTTAGGGCCAATTTCATTAAAATCTAAAGTGGACAGTTTGTCACTAAGTGAATTTAAAGCCTCAATAATAGCTGAGGGGGGTCTCTAACAACCTACAATAGGAATAAAATGGTCCTTAAAAAGTTGGAGCTTAAATGCAGGAAAGAAAGAAAGAAAGAGTTTAGTAAAAGCTTAAAAGATACTGAAGAATAACATGGAATTAGTCTTTTACATAAATTGCAACACTAACACAATGAAAAAAAAATTGTAGCCCGTTATTGCAACGTCTTTGTCAGTAATTGCTATTGTTAGCCAAGTTTCAGATAATGTAAGAATATCAGTATCCAATGCGTTCACCCAAATCTTTCACTAAGTCCAGTTTAGGAAGAAGATTAGTGACATTTAAATGAATAATACCAAGTCCCAATCTAGCTTTAAATCACAAGGAACATTTAAACATTTGTAATCTGGACCAGGATTAGGCCGTATATATTTCCAGATAAAAGCAGCAAAAGAACAACGAAGCCTTTTTTTAGAAGTAGTATCACAGACTGATTTCTCTTATTGCTCAGTCTCTTTGGGAGGTGAGAGCACAGGGAAATAAACCAGTCATATGGAATAAATAAATGAATTAAATCAGACAGACTGAGATCTGCACTGATGTTCCCTATGAGAGGAAATGAGGTTTATCTTGCTCTCCAGACTGTTGTTGTGCCTCACGTGGACAGAGAGCCCAAAGAGATTGGCCTTGCTACACCACACATAATCAAAGTTGCATAATGCTGTAATTTGCATCTGTCAACCATTGTCTGGTTCAGTGTGACTACTCACTGCCTCATTATTCAAGCCAAACAAGTGTGATGTAAAAAAAAATCATTCTTGTCTGCACTCTCATTCAGAAGCCCTGATCCAAACCACAGACTCTCTGGTGTAACTACGTGGAAATCGTTTTTTCGTCCATGCTAAACCAGTAATCAGGCTGCGATTGGAACACAAGGTAGGCTTTTATGGAATTCTTGTGGGCTTGTGTGATGAAAAGTGAACATACTAGAGGCCCTCCATTATAGGGTTGGTGGTTTAGATGATTTTTCCCATTTCTTTGTATTCACTAGAGAAATTGTCTACTCCTGGGTCTGATCTTTGGTGGACATTGAACATGTGCATTTTCTATGCAAATCCTTTATTTTATAAAACTCAAACAAATGGTAAAAAAAACAAAAAAAAAAAACTTCTTCATGGATCTTCAAATCCTGTTTTTATTTTGCGACTGACGAGAGTGAGTGGCTTTGTGTAATTTACACGCCATAGCAGTTCCTTGCAAACACTTGCTTTGAACAGAAGGTGGTTGTGGCCCTCCGATGACCATGTTGGGGATGTCCTCTCCCTTTATCATCATGCAAACCCACGAGTAAGAGAACCAGTGTTCAGAGCAATCTGAAGCTTGAGCTTTTGGGTTATAGAGACGGTGTGTACATCAACTGACCTTCTTATTTTAAACATGAACATTCACCACAAAATGTATATACAGTACACTGTGCAGCAGGGGTGTCAAACATATGGGCTGGGGGCTAGAATCTGATCGACAACGACTCAAATCTGGTCCATTTATATTTGCATGGCCTTTGAAAATGTAAAGGAGGGCATAAATGTTGGAACTTTAACTGTATTTCCTTAGTTTTTACAGCTTTTACTATATTCATACCAAAACAAAGTAACTATGTGATAAACAATTAAGTGACAGGAAAGTACTTTTTTCAGTTTCTACCACAGTTTCTTTTCAGAAACAGATTTCTTTCATTACAGCAGCATTTATTTATCATGCAGAAAAACCGAAACTTACAGTTTAAAATAAACATCTTTTTTAATACATTCAAATATCTCAGTTGTGATTTGGTTCTTGTCAGGGACCAAGCAGTAAGGCATAAAGGACACAGGTGTTTAATTTTAAAAAGGGGGTTTTATTGACCCCAAAATATGAAAGATAATTAACAAAGCCAAAAAACTTAAACAGGCAGACCAATAAAAGAGGTCAACTCAATAAGCTAAACTCAAAATAACAACTAACGAAACCACAAACAAACATAAGACAAGCTGACCTTCTGAAATGACACACGGGTAACTTAAATACTGGCTTGGCTAAACCAAATGGCACACAAGGGGGGGGGAAAAGGCTGCCATATAACCAACTATCCATCCATCCATCTATTCGCTTCCGCTTATCCTTTTCAGGGTCGCGGGGGGCGCTGGAGCCTATCCCAGCTGTCATAGGGCGAGTATAACCAACTAATACAAAACAATTAAACAAACTTGAAACAACCCCCAGGCAATGAAGCATGTGGTTCTGTCCAATTAGGCTGTCAGCAGTACTTCAGCTCTTCCAGCCCTTTGCCACATCTTTTGCCAACCAGGAAGGAGAAACCAAACCCCAGGTAACTCAAAGAAAGAAAGATATATTAATATAACATAAAACAGAACTTTGACATTGCAGTGTTAATATGTGTGCACGCCATATAAACACTGCAAGGTGTGACAGAAAAGAAAAGAAACAACATATTGGACAATAAGTAGAATATATTTAAAGTAGCGACTGCAAACTTAACTAAAGTGAAGCAACTAGTGTTGAGGTGTGGAGCTTACCCTGTGTGGCTTCCCATCACAGTGCTATATAAATAAAAGTGAACTGGTCTGGCCCTTCATATCAAAGTGGGTTGTGTGTGGTCCACAATGTAAAATGAGTTTGACAGCTCTGCTCCGCAGTACATATACAACATAAAAGAAAATGCCTTAATATATTAGTGACTTTGGCTGAGCTTTAACGTAATTAATTAAATCTGATTGGCAAGTTAATGGCAAGTTAAAGTTAATGGCTATTATTGTTGAAGAAGTTAATTTTTTATGCGTCTGCAAGCAAGTACAGCTGCTGAAAAAAAATGTTCATGTGCAACACTAATAGATGGAGAAAGAGCAGAAATGGGAGAAATATTTGAACTTTTTTTCCCCCCAAAGGTGAGCACTGCTCAGCAAGTGACATTTGATAAACTTGAAATTTAAAGTTTACATGTGATGTCCTGATACGCTTTACACTTTTTTAAATCATTTATCGGCTTTCTACATCACGTTTTTCGCTAAATTATGTTTTCATGAAACATCTTGCAAAACTAACTGTAGCGCACTAAATGTTGTGTTATTCAAAGGCTGCATGAAAACACCGGGCAGTTTAGTGCAAGCTGAACTGTTAGTTTGCAGTGATGCACGAAGTTGTACTGGTTACATCTCGGTTACTGTTACTTGGTTGCATCAGCGATTGCAGACATCAATTTATTTTGATCGGTGAATTTATATTTACTTTCTGAAGTCTGTCTTTCATACTAGCTTTATTGTGTCTGTGGGTTGGAAATCAGCCATATAGATCATGAAACATCTGAGTGTATTTTCATGAATTCATTTGGCTAAATCCACAAAGAGCAGTGAATATCCTAGTAGCGGCAAAATGCCGGATCATCCCAGTCTGTACAGGAAATATCACTGGAGGCCACAAAACAGCTTATGTGACTTATTTGTAAGTAGTTCTTTTCACCACGTTACACAGCTACACCCAGTCGAGGGTTCCCCCACCTGCCAAATCCCACTTTAACACCTGCTTATGTTCCTAGCTGCTTTAAAGCCCACTAATTAACACATTTTATTGTGGGTAAGTCTAATTGTGAAAAAAATAAAAGCAACACTCTGACAGGCTGTTAGGTGCTGAACTATTTCTTGGCAGATGACTTTCTGGAGTCATGCCGTCATTGTGAGGTAACCAGTGGAGACTCTGGGAAGTTACTGGTCTGAGCCAAGAAACAGTCTGGCGCATAACCCCCCCCCCCTAATTTGGCTCTGGCTTAGGCCTGAACCCACAGGCACAAGCTTTATCAGTCTTCCTATCATCCAACTGTTGATGAAGTTTTTTTTTCTTTTCAAAACCAATGCACCATTGTTTTAATCATTAATTTAAAGCCCACCCTCTTGATGTAGAGCTGAGCTTGTTTCAGTGCAACCAAACTCACTCGCCCCACTCCACCCTTGGCTTTCATGGATCGCGTCATAACTCATTAACCAGCGTAAATTAAAGCTAGAAATTTGGTGTTCTTTTTCTGACAGTGGCCTCAAAAACAAATTCTCACACTTCTGATTTTGTTGTTCTACAAGCAAACTGTTGCGCAATAGGCTTATGTAATACGTATCCAGAAGATTCGGTATTGCTCATTTAAGTTCTCTGAAGTGACGTGCTACCTCTCTGTGACCCACATAAAGGCAAGCCTTACCGTGCCAGACTACTGTGGTCACCCCTGGGTTTCGTAACAAGGTTCGAACAGTCTGTTTTTCCCCTGTTCCCTATGGGGGAAACTATTGCATAATCGCGTGTCTGCATTTGCAGGCCTGTGTGGCGGTGCTTTCTCCTGTCATTGTGTTATTTAGGAGCCACAGTGCAGCTTCGAAACATCCAATCTAGCCATCCATCTCCCCGCCACTCCCGCACCGCCTCACCGTGGCTGTTACACAATGTCCAGCTGTGGAGCACAGCAGTGTGTTGGGAGACATCTGCGCCTCTCCTCCTGCAAAATCCCCTCATCACATGGTTTTGTTTACGCATAGCTGCTTTCAATATCCCAGCGATGTGAACAAAAGAAAAAAAAACAAAACAAGGGGAACACACAAACTCTGTCCAAATGACACAAGGAAATACAGTCACAGGAAATGCATTCGCCACCAACTCTGCCCCAAGCCCACAGTGGCTTGTGCTGCATGCAAACCAGGATGGATGAGCCTGTTGCTCTGTCATATCACCAATTATGGCAGCGGCACGGAATCCTCACGGTATCTCATTGCTTCCCATTTTCCTGACATTGTCTGTGTCGAAGCAGTCACTGCGGTGTACCCAAACAGTATCTGGAATGTCTGCGGTAACAGAACTGGGAAGCACCGTCTCCTTTTGATCTTTAGCAGGGAGGTAGATGCTAAGTCATGTGTGAGGCAGCAGGTCTGGTAAGAGTTTGGCTGTGAGCTAGTTGGCAACGTTTCTGGTTTGCGGGCTAGCGATCCAGGCTGGCCCCAGACATTTGTTGGCAGACCCGAGGCTGTAATGAAACCACCCAGAGTGTTTTGGCTCTCGCAGCCAGACTTGTGCTCTCAGTGTTCCTGCGACACTAGAGTCTCATCTTCAAACGTGTAGAGACCCTGTAATGCTCCACAGAGCTGTAACAGCCCACGACAAGTAACAATAATGTTTACCGTGTTTTATTTTTGATGTCCTGTATGCATCTGTTTTACAGATTTTCAGACGATTACACATTATGTTTAATTCTGTTTAAACTGATTACTTTCAATAATAAGTACACAATCCACATAATGACATCATTAAGTTAGAAACACGTGTTTTAAAGAAGAATTGTCTTTACACAGCGATGCATGTACAAATGTTTCTAGTGTTTTAATTAGAAAAAAGTGAGGCTTGGTTCAGGATAAATCTACTCTGGTCACTACACTGTATCACCGGTGCTAAACAGTATTGACAAAGGCAAACCCCTGTAGTTTCAGTAATCCCCTGAATCTGGTGACCTATCATCTAATCTGAGACTTTATGTAAGGGATAATCTCAACTTTACTTTTGTTTGACTATGGCGTTACTTTATAGTTGCCAATATCTTAAATGTAGAGTGTATAGAGTACAAGCAGGGATATTCTGCAGAATTCATTTACCCCTTTAAAGGCTTATACAAGTACCCGCCCTCCCAGTACGCTATCTTTGTGATCCATCACTCCAACTCCTTGTGAAGACACCACACCAGTGTCTGTCCCACACCTGTCATGGACACCACACGGAAGCCAATCTTCTCCAGCTTGTCCAGCACCAGGCGAGGCGGGTCATCCACGTGATACTCGGAACTGAAACAAGCATAAACAAAGCAATTCTGCTTTCCACAGATGTGGGGATTTCTGCATCTCTCAGTAAACTCCTCTTGGAAAATAGAGTGCTGTTAATTGTTCTAGTGCTTGTTCACTTCCTTCCACACCTTGTTTCATTTGAATCAGATTGCCAATGGCAACACCTCCCTGATCTGTATTCCATCACCTTGAACGGTTTACTCCAAATCTGCAAGGCAGCAGCTTTCCTCCCCCCTCCCCAACCACACTGAAGCCTTTTCTTCTATACGACCCAATTTCAGCTCTGCTGTCAACATGTACATGTTAACTGCCAAAATGTACAAAGCATCAGTTTTAAGTGCCTAAATATGGATATGCTGCCCACTGTGAGCAAATTTACAGTAGACTTGGAAATAAAGTCTGCACGTTTGTGTGCAGCTAAAGATCAGAATGGAGGCAATGGTTAAATCTTACCCATTTACAATCACTGATAAAAATTATTGAATCAGGAGCAAAATCCTGTCAATCTTTGTAAGAGACATCAGCCTCATGGTGCTTAAAAGCTTGAGCTGAGATAGGCTTACAAAACTTAACCATTTATCCTTGGGTGTTTCACATGGTAGCTCTGAGAGGTCAAACAGTGCAATTTAAGAAAAATGAAAACAGAAAAACGCTGCAAAGACCCTCAACTAAAGTGTTTTTTGGGAGACAATAAGGTGAAGGATCAGCTACAGTAAATGGCTAATAGCAAACATCTATGCATAAATCATGTGATTAGATCACACAGTGCCTTGCGTCTTCCTCCTGCTATTCCATGGTGTTACCGTCACCCCAAAAACACTTCCGTTCTGATTTATTCAACTTCCGTTGTGTTTTAGCTGCAAAAGATTTCACCTGTCAGGGCCATCACAACACGCTTCCCACATTTGACCTATATAGCTCCCATGATTACGGACTTAGGTACTCACAAATTGTTCCCCAGCATAGTCGTTTTCCTCGCTCCCAGGTAATTCATGACCACTGGATCCGAAAATTCATCCCCCACATTTGTCGGACCGTTCTCCTGCAAGGCAGCATTAAGTGTATTACCCACACAGCTTAGAACTTACTCTAGAAATATCGGGGGGAGACAGCATCCCTAAAACAAATTGTCTGTACAGCTCTCACTGATTGCACCTGCAGCCCTCTGGCAGGTGCACGTGATAATCTCCAATATCTGAACATGCTAAAAATAGATGATCCAATATACTTAAAGGGTACTGGAGGAATTAGGCTGCTGGAGTCGTGCGCAAACAAGAGGCCGACAACTGAGCAACATGTGTTTTTAATTGACGTGGCACACACACATACAAAAAGGTCCCACGCACGCTTCTCGCGTCTTTTGTAACCATAACTTTTTTCCCCCCAGCGTGCCGAATATTACCGGCCATTGCATAACCAACCTTGGCTGATCAGTAGGCTAGTGTGCGCGCTGTTTGCAGTCAAATAAACACATCTGCGAGTCAAACGCGCCTCCCCCGACAGGATGATGGGAGTCGTTTACGTATGCAAGATACACACCAGTCGAATCTGTGTGCTGACGAACATGTACGGCATCCCGCTCGCTAGCTTTGCTCCGGTATTCCCCCAGGAGTGACTGAAAGAGGTGTCCTCACAGATAAACGGTGCCCTCTTCAACTCGAGCTCCAGCTGACTGCGCTTAGCGGAATGCGGAAACACCCACCGCGACGAGCCAATCACAGAACCCCTCTCAGCATCTGTCAACAGCCCGCTCTGCACAGGGTCTTGTTCAACTGGGATCGCTGGTTTGTTGATATGAGAAACGCGGGGCAATGTGCACGTACGAGAAGGAAATGTTAGTTTATAGTTTCATTTAACTAAGTCATTTTTTATTCTTCCAGTGCGAAAGTTCACTTTAAAATCTCATCATTCTTTGGATGGGAATTTATTTAATAAGCTACACATTTATTAAATTACATTTCAGCCACAACCAATTGTGCTACACATTTTCTTTCATTTTCAGGCAACTTACTGCAAGTGGAAAGAAATGCAATTTCAGTTTCCGTGGTCGCTGTCGTACAGTCTGCTCTATGTATTTGCATGTATTTGTTTAATACATGTATTATATTAAACCTGCACTGTCTAGAATTCTCTCCTTCCCAGAGATTTATTAATTTCCTCCTGAGTTCGGTAATAATAACTCTGGATCAGTCTTGTGACTGGGAGGGAAATGAAAGGCACAGACCAAAGGAAAGCAACAATGGTGGGAACTCCGATAAGATCAGTAATATGAATGTAATGTCCTGTGGATGCCAGAAAAGCCTGGTGGACTCTCAGTTAGGCTTTGCATGTCATGGTCAGTGGGAACAGTAATTTAAAGCCTGATCGCTGCTTAATAATATTGTGATGGTAGGCAGACGTGCATCCAGGCAAACCAGATTCAGAAATGTCCTGTGGTGCAATCAGTTTTGAAGGCATAAATCGAACCAAAGTGGTTTACCATCAAATCAAATATGTTTTTAAGATTAGGTCGTATATTTGTCTTAAATTTAATACGTCGTTAGCAGTCTGAATTGACAGTGTTAAATGGCTTCTGACATTATACAGATCCTTTAATGTGCATCTGCTTGATTCAGACTGGCATCTGTGAGTGGTGGGGACTGCTGAGAAGAGCTGACCTCTACTGGCTTCTGAGATCAGTGAAATTCATTTCCTATTTGTTTTATTTTCATTTTTTTTCATTAACAAGTTAATTGTTTTGTATTCAGTAAAATCAGCTTCAGTTTGGATCATCTGCACTACTCCTAGACATCAAAAAGAAACCAGCTGAGGTGGTTCAGCCCAGGGGACTCAGGGATCCCTCTTGGGTGTCTTCTGGGTGAGGTGTTCCAGCGATGTCCTACCGGGAGAAGGCCACTCTAAACAGATTATATCGCTCAGCCTGGCCTGGCAACACCTCGGCGTTCCCCTGGATTACCCAGAGGAGGTAGCTGGGAAGAGAGAGGTCTGAGATTCTCTGATTAGGCTGCTGCCCCAAAGCCTGACCTGAGATAAGTGCAAAAAGATGGATGGACGGATGTGATACAAAATGAAAGAAACAAGTCTTCACCATTAAACCAATGAGATCTGCTGCAGGAGAGAAAACAGGAAGGCAGCAGAGTTATTGCAGAGGCTCCAAAAACAAAGCAGAGACCCCCTTCTTGCCAAGAAGAACCCTCTCTCTGCAAGCATGTTCCTATGCACTGAGACACTTCCTGTGCTCCTGCAGCGTCTTCCTGCACTCGCTCATCTGCTGCTGGTTAATAGAGTCCAGGGTCAACTCCTCTCTGACCCTGTGGTGACAGTGGAGCACATCCCTGGTGGGTCCACGGGAAGCAGCGTGATCTTTTGATGAGGTCTCTGCCTTAGCCTCTCTCAGCTGAAGTGTGACTGCCTGCTGCCGGAACGCTTCCATCAAAGCTCCTTTTCTCTACACAACAGTCATAAAAATACAACCAAGAAACACAACTGTGCTCAAGTTGAGTCTCGGCCTGTTTACAACATATGATATTGAAAACAGAAACAGACATCAATTAAATTCAAATAAATAAGCTTCATGTCTTGTACGTCCAATCCGGCCGTTGTGTCGGACATCCCACTCGCAATATCAAGCTTCACATGATCAAAGCGTTTGATGGATTTACTTGCTGTGAATAGGCGTGGGCGAGAAATTTGCCCTGAAAGGGTTGCGCTGCTAAAGCGATCGCTCTAAATCACTGAGTGGGAACTGAATAGGAATGAATTATACAGCAGACAGTGTATGCATTTCACGATTTACTGTAGGTGTGTGCTGGGGTTATTATTCCACTATTCAGCTGAGAGATTTAAACTGTGGGAGATTGCAGACAACAGGCACCTCTGACAGACTGGGTGCTAGGCTTGAGCACAGCGTAGGTTTACATTTGTTTAATTGTGATGAATCACTGCATTGTGAGGCCATATACTTTTTTTCTTTAGAGCTTCATAATCGAGTGCCTGCAACTGCCTTGTGTAGCCTGTTTCTCCTCCAAGGAGCCTCGCGGTCCCTCTTTTGCAAGGAGATACATCACTGACCTCCTTTTTCTTTGCTTTTTTCCAGATTTCACCGTGCAGCTTACATAAAGCATCTCCGTGCTGCAGCGATATTACCCGACAGCAAGGTTCAGCTCTTTCCTCCTCCTCCTCTCTGTTTTCACCTCACCTCACCTCCTACTTTGAAATGCTGCGCTCACTGATAGATGACACAGCCGGCATAGCGTTATGAAACATGTGCGAGTGTGGTCACCGGGTTAACATTTTGCTGAGAAACACCAGGATGCGGTTTAGGCGGTTCTGCGTACTGAAAAGGAGGTTTTGTTTAGGGAGACTTTCTCCCAGTGATGAAGAAAAATGTCATCAAATATTTGGAGCAGCGTTTTCTCACACACTGTCTTTTCTCTCGTCACCTCAATTTAGGGCTTGATTTTGTGCGAGAGGCATGTCCCTTTGGCTTACCACAAATGGGATTGATTGGGCTACTAGTAACAGGAAACAACACGATGTGCAATAAACAGAGGGGAACAGAGAAGAACTTTACGAGGTCTTGAATGCATCTATCAAGCTATCAAGACTTTTTCTCTGGTCTATTCTGTGTTTCATTCTGAGGATTTGTAACCCCGACAGCCATCATTTAGCTGGAATATTTGTCTCTTTTTAATTTAGATTGTTGATGCTGTGAAAAAAGACAGAACAGTGATTTGCTTAAAATGACCTGGGACATGTCTCAGTTTATCTTAAATGTTCCAAGAACAGCAGTCTGAGATTGAAATCCTTTGGGATTTATAAGTAACTGAGCGGCTGTGCACCATTTGCTGTTTGACAACATGATTAAAACACTTCCAAGCATGCCTCAGTCCTTAGTAAACCTCAGAGTTAAAGACTTACTGCAAATAAAGTCATAGTCGAGGGTTAAAGATGATTTGTCGGTCTCAAAATACTACTTTGACTACTCAGCCGGAATGTTGATGACATGTCTCCTTCTAAAGTCTGAAACTTAACAGGATTTATTGTTACAAGATGTTAATCTGTTTGGAAAGTGCCATATAAAGACAGGGTGAATGAAATGGTAAGTGTGATGGCTAATTGAACAGGGAGAGGAATGACAGCATGGATGTGTAGCAATAGGACTGATTCAAATCTCGATTCTCATCAGGCCTGTGGTCATTGGAATGTTTTGTATTATATGCCGCAGCATGTGGTTGCTGTTTATGCACAAGTCCGGCAGAAGTAATCTGCTCTGTGTATCTTACAGCTTCGGTACACAAGGGATGGCTTCTCTTAGAATAACTACCATGACAATGAGTTGGGCAAGAGCAAAGGGACAGCTTGGCTTTGTTTAATCCATAACGACGACAGAAAGACAGGATATTGTACCCTTCATTGTGCAAAGATTGCTGGTTTCCATTAAAATATGGTCGTAACAGCTGTGTAGTGTGATGTGTTATTATAATGACATGCCATGCTGGGCAGCAGCGACTACAGCTTTAGATCACATCAGTGATCAGAAGGCGATATGACGAGTTTATGACTTTTAAACATTTTTTAGTGACGCTTAACTTGTGCTTGTAATTTGTTAAAACTGTTGCACACAGTACCAGTGAATCTCAGCAGGATTTTCCTGTAATAAATCAGCAGGTCCTTACGATGAAGAGCACGCACGTCTGTTATATATCACATTTGGTGATAGCTGTATGGATAAACACTTTGTATCTACAACCCCAATGCCACAAAAGTTAGGATGCTCTGTAAAATGTAAGTGCAAGGATTTGGAAATCTCATTAACCTATTTTGTTTTATTCGCAATGGAGCATAGAAACCATATCAAGTGTTTACACAAAATGAGGTCATTTTGGATTGGGTGGTAGCAACATGTCTCAAAGAGGTTTAGACAGGGTTCATGTTTACCATTGTGCAGCATCCCCTCTTTTAACAACAGTCTATAAATGTCTGTGAAGTGAGGAGACCAGCTGCTGGACTTTTGGGAGACGAATGCCGTGTGATTCTTGTCTGATGTCCTGGTCTTCCTTGTTGCATTTTTTATGTAATGAAAAGTTAACTTGACTTCTTTAAGTTTGTGAAGATGTTTCACCTCTCATCCATGAGGCCTCTTAGACGTGAGCTCGATGCTCTCAGCAGGTGAAAGATCTGGACTACAGAAAGGCTGGTTAAGTACCCAGACTCTTGTAATAAATGCATGGTTAAGCATTATCTTGCTGAAATAAAGCCTGGCCTGAAAAGTATATCAACTGGATGGGAGCACATGTTGCTCTAAAACCTGTTTATACCGTTCACTTGCCTTTTCAGATATGTAAGTTGCCAGTTCCATAGGCACTAATGCGCCCCTATGCTATCAGGATCCTGTCATGTTTCGGCTGTGTGGCAGGCAGGGACTGGACCCAAACGCAAACTCACTGGAGACAGGATTGAACTCAAAAGGGCAGCTTTTATTGCTGAACACAAAAACTCTACAAAATCTAAACTGGGAAGACTAACAAAACACACAGCATGAGGGAGACTACAACACTGACAAAGCGCAACACAGGGCTTAAATACACAGAGGGATAACGAGGGAACGAGACACAGAAGGAGAGCACAGCTGGGAGTAATCAGGCTGGACGAGACAAGGGAAGCAAAACTAGAAACACTGACATGAGACACGGACCTTCAAAGTAAAACAGGAAACACCCTGACTGAATTCTAAACATGCAAACTTAACAGCAACTGGGGAGACAGAC